GAGGATGAAATTATGCTCGTTTGGTGATGGTTGAATATTAATTTATTTGATGTTTCTCGTTCGGCAGTTACAATAATAGTGATGCGCTTCGCGCGAAATGGTTTGCTTTTATACATTTTTATTTTCTGCATTCGTACCGCTGTGTAAAGTTGACTTCTCGTTCTTGCGTGGAATTGACGATACTGGGAGGAGTCTGCTTCGCTTCACAACAGTGCAAATCGTTTATGTAGGGGAGTGTAGGGAGAATTAATACATAGATTAAACGTTCGGAACCGAACAGAGAGATTCTACTAAAAGTGACCAAAGCCAGCGTAAACAGTAGATTATTCTACGGGATCGAACTGTACTGCCTTTCCAACGACTCTCTTGCCACACGACTAGCCCCAACGTATAACCAGGCAATCAGAATCGTCGCAGGACTTCTGCCTTCAACACCGGCTGAATCGGCATGCGTCGAACTCGGTGTACTACCGTTTCAATACCAAGTCGCCGAAACGCTGAGCTGCAGAACGACCAGCTACCTGGAAAAGACCACCGGTAACCACGAGGTCTTTCTCCACAGGTAGGGGAACAGAGCTCTCGGAAAATTGGTCCATCAGGAGCTCCCACCCGTGTCCCCAGGGTACACTGGAACGGAGCCAGAGGATGGACAGAAGCAACCATACGCGTTGACCTTTCAATTGCCAAGCGCTTCAAGGCAGGTAACAACTCCCGTGACATGCAGGCCCACGTAGCGGAGCTGCTGAGAACTAAATCAAGACCAACAATTGAAATGGCCTTAACTCCATTTTGTAAACAAACCTTTGCCTTATAACCATTTTCTCGCGAACCGAAGTCCGCAAAGGCAAACCAACATAATGACAGGTAGGGGAAATTCTCCTCTACCCGATTGTGGTTTAGGTTTGATGATGATGATGATTTACACCGTTGGGTAAAAATCAAATGACGCGTTGATTTTTTTACCCAACGGATAAGTAATGTGTAGATTACCTAAAGTTAGGTAGAAAAAAACTTGGACAATTTTTGTCAGGGTGCGGGAGTAATAAATTTTATAAATTGATATAGATGACTGTCCATACACAAAATTTAAAATTTGTATGGGCCATGGATAATTTTCAACAACCTCCCTCCCCCGAAACTGTCTACGTAGTTTATGAACAGCCCCTTGCAAGTTTTGTTTACAAAATGGAGTTAAGGCCATTTCAATTGTTGGTCTTGAAATACGCAAATTTTCAACACCGTTACACCAACAATCAATTCGAAACTAACGATTTTAAATTGGCTCACTACTTGACTAGCCTATTGGTCCCAAGCAAACGATTAAAGTACCCCATTCTAGTCGAAATTCTAGTACTACGCAATGTTTGTTTTGATTCGCTATGAAAGTTTGACAGGTAAAATGAGGGGTTATTGGTTTTTCCTATGTTTCGAGGGGTGATTCGATTAGCTTGGGACCGAAGAGAGTACCAGAGCTGAGCCAAAAAGTTGAGCACGTTATTTCGGGACCTTCTAGTCTTAGAGTTACCTCTATGGTTACACGGACGGCTCTAAGGCCGTGGGGGAAGGTCGGATTCGGAGTAGCGGATGTATCCAATAGTTACTTCTATCAACTACCCGACCAGTGCTCCGTTTTCTTGGCGGAGGCTGCGGCCATCCACTTCGCCACCACGACACCCGCCAATAAACCCATATGTGTCCTAACAGACTCCGCCAGCGTTTTATACGCCTTGAATTCAGCAAAATTCAGACACCCCTGGATACAAGGGATCCAAAAGGCCGCACCGCAGAACACCTAATTTGTTTGGGTACCCGGCCATTGCGGTATCCGGGGCAACTGTGAAGCAGATCATCTCGCTGCCACAGGTCGCTCCGGCCGGATGGCCACCACAGTTGTACCAACAATCAATACGAAACTAACGATTTTAAATTGGCTCACCACTTTAGTAGCCTATTGGTCCCAAGCAAACGATTAACGTACTCTATTCTAGTTGAAATTCTATTACTACACTATGTTTGTTTTGATTCGCTATGAAAGTTTGACAGATAACATCAGGGGTGTGTGGATTCATGCACACACAAAATCACGGCCTCCCTGTTCGGTAATTTTTTACTGGGTTTTTGAACAGCTGAAAAAGTCAGTAAACTTAAAAAAATTGTAAAAAATTGTATAAAAGTGATTTTTTCTTGAAATTTATACAGACTGTGTTCTTATTACATTTATTTGATGATAAAAATAAAATATGTTAAAATTGTTCGTTGCATTACGTGTGACCGTTATTTTCAGTTTACTGACTTTTTCAGCTGTTTGAAAACCCAGTAAAAAATTACTGACCCCAGTAAAATAATCTCTGTGTGCAGAACATGCAGGGGTGAGTGAAATAGCTTGGGACTGCTTGGGACCGTTGTTCTGGTACTGAGTGAGCCAAAAATAATAATGATTTTCTTCGGGACCCAGTGGTCTTAGAGTTACCTCTATGCTAGTAGGTCCCGAAGAAACGTGCTCAACTTTTTGGCTCAGCTCTGGTACTATCTTCGGTCCCAAGCTAATCGATTCACCCCTCGAAACATAGGAAAATCCAATAACCCCTCATTTTATCTGTCAAACTTTCATAGCGAATCAAAACAAACATTGTGTAGTACTAGAATTTTGACTAGAATGGGGGTACGTTAATCGATTTGCTTGGGACCAATAGGCTACTAAAGTGGTGAGCCAATTTAAAATCGTTAGTTTCGTATTGATTGTTGGTACTATCTTCGGTCCCAAGCTAATCGATGCACTGCTCGAAACATAGGAAAATCCAATAACACCTCATTTTATCTGTCAAACTTTCATAGCGAATCAAAACAAACATTGTGTAGTACTAGAATTTTGACTAGAATGGGGGTACGTTAATCGATTTGCTTGGGACCAATAGGCTAGTCAAGTAGTGAGCCAATCGTTAGTTTCATATTGATTGTTGGAAATACTCTGAAGAGGAGCTACTGTGTGGCGATGAATCTTGGATCGTTGGCATTGTAGGCAGTTCTGCACGAGTAACTTAATGTCCTTGTTAATGTTCTTCCATACGAACCGATCCGCTACAAGTCGTCGAGTAGAACGCACTCCTGGATGAGCCAGACCATGGACATGTTGAAGAACCGCGTCACGATGCTGAGGTGGAACATATGGTCTTACTTTGTTTTGTGACACATCACAATACATGGGTCTTGATGCAAAAGTTGTCTGACGCAATTCCAGTTTCAACGCAGAAGACGAATCCAGCAGGCCTTGCAACTCGTTGTCAACGATCAGCAGCAATTTTGTCGTAGTCAATCGGTGTTGAACTGTCCGCTGATATGACGAATATCGTTCGAAAATTCCGAGATGAACCGCAAGTACCGCTCCTCGTGTGGAAGACGACTGCTTGTACTTTAAGCCAAAGCGTGTGTTAACGGCATGTGATCGGTGTAAATAACGAATCTCCTTCCTTCCAGCATATGACGAAAGTATTGCACCGACATCTTCATCGCTGTCAGCTCTCGGCCAAACGTTGAATATTTCACCTGAGCCGGCGTGAACTGTTCCGAATAGAAGCCCAGTGTATCTCATGTCGTTTTCGTTTTTGCGGTGTAGCACTGGTGTAGTGTAAGCAGGAATAAGCACGAGTCTTTTGACAGCTCAACATCATTTGTTTGTAAACAAAGGTGCATCCTATGTCTACACCCTAAAATATTTCGGTGTACGGCAGTGTAGCACCGGTGTAGCTACACCGCAAAAACGAAAACGACATCAGTTGCTGCCGTTGAACTGCTGTAGCACAGCGCCTGCTGCAGTATTTGATGCATCGATAAGTAAACTCATCGGTTTCGAGGAATCGGGGTAATGCAAAAGTGCGGTTTTCGCTAGAGAGATTTTGCATTGATCGAACGCTTTTCTGGCATTATCGGTCCAAGCTATTTTCCGACAATCGCTCTTTTTATTTCCAGGAATTAGGTTTCGGAGATAAGCCTGTAGATCAGACGCGTGCGCGACAAACCTCTTGTAACAGTTCCGTAATGCAAGGAATCGTCTCAATTCTTTCACGGTGGAAGGGATTGGAAAGTCTGTAACTGCCTTGACTCCATCCGGCAAGGGGAGGATTCCATCCTAGTTCACCACGTATCCAAGAAAGTTGACACTACTCTCCGCGAAACAGCTTTTGGCCACGTTTATAACAAGACCGTAAGATTTAAATCGTTATTGAATTGTTGGCACTGAATTATCCCCTGCTACAGGTTCTCTTGGAGTACCATGTGGGTTCTGAGAGCGGCCAATGTGGTCAATAATACATTTCAAGTCTACAGAAAGCCTGGTTATGAAAAGCCATGAAGAAAGAGCTGTCGGATGACATATTTTAGTGAATTAAAAATATGACCGCATTCTGAACCCTCCTAACAGATTGGGGAAATGGTTATTCTTTCTTTTTTTCCGTTTGGTTTATTTTCCGTCGATCTTGTTTTCCGTGCTGAGCACCAATGCTACAGACGCCAGGGAGGCAGCTACAACACCTGGACCTTATTTATCGACCCATCAATTCATGAACCGGAGACCAACGGCTTTACTTCTCTTCCGATGGAAGGCGTGATCAGAGATGTTATGCCTCAGAACATCCCGGCGGCGCCGACTGGGATTGAACCCAGGCCTGCTGGAGTGAGAGGCAATCACGCTTACCACTACACCACCGGTGCCGCTGGTTCTTCTTTCTGTTAATTTACTAAAAATATAGATTTTTAACGAACCTCCTAAAAAGATCTCTTCACAAGTTTAGCAACTTAGACATGCCGTCCGAAAAAGCGGAATCTTATGACCATGTGTATTTCCGTGGCAACACCACATATTAATTTTCCAGTCGAATGCTTCTGGAAGAATTAGAATCGGACAATATTGGACGAAGTTACGACACTCCAAAGTTGACCGAAAATTTGCCTACCCAAGGTATTTTGAGTATCCCCTGTAAGTTAAGTGCTTTGGCAACAATACTGAAAACTCGTTTTATGTTATGCATTAACTGATAATAATCCTTATCATGGATGTATCTACTTCTGATGCTGACTCAGCTCTCCTGCTCTGGGGTTGCCTCCGGTGGCCGAGTACACCACCCAATGCTTCGTCACGTGAAGCACTTGGGCAATGTTGCACCTCTTTCCCAATCCGGTGGAGATTGTGATTGAAAATAAAACAACCGTCTTATCAACTTATCTTTTAATAAATTCGTATACTTTCGCTTTAAATGCAACACACATAAAATATTCGAAATTCATTTGCACTGACTGTGTTATGTAACCTTCCTCAGCATTGCTTATACGTTTTTATCATACTATACGATTACGTCCGGCTCCTTACAAACTATATCACATCTAGTGTTTTGCACCGTTAAAAACCTAATAGATGAGACACATTCTACTTCTAACATTTAAAGCTTACCTTCCTATTAAAGCTAAACGTTGAACAGCTTTTCGGCTATATTCTACTGAGGCACATCGATTGCGATTTACGATTCGAGTATAGCTATATATTGAACTAGAAGGACAACTATGGCACAGTTACTTATCCAATATCCTATCACATGACCTTTGTTTTTCCTGTTTCGGAACCGTACAGTAGATTTCTAGAGAGAAAGTGCTCCAGCGGACCACGGAACTGCTCCAGCAGTCCTCCGATCACCATGCGGTAGATGTTCAACGTTTCCTCCGGCGCGTGCGGCCGGAGGGTTTTCTTCACCTTGCGAAAGTAGTCGACAAAGTCTTGCGGAGGCTCCTGCCATCGGTAGTCCAGACTGGTAGGGGGAGCACCGGTCCGGAATCGGTAGCCGTACCGTTTCATCATGGTCCTCGCGACCCTGAAGTAATCGCGGCTGAATTGAATCTTAAAATAGTTCAAGCGGCGGAACAGTTCTTCGAGCTCGATGCATTTGACGTTGAACAGCCGAAGAGCTTCGCATAATTCGTTCTGCCGGTGGGTGAAGAATTCCTCGATTTCGTGGTTCATGTTTTGCCGGAACGATTCGCTCGGCACGATGACGCTGGTTGTTGTTGGTTCAGGAGGTGTGAGGGTTCTTTGCCGGAGGTGGAATGATTCCGTTGGTCGTAAGGGGAAGCGTTGGATTTGCGATAAGGTGGGATGTTGCTTGAAGGGGACCAGCTGTGGGCGAAGGGCAGTTTTCGGGGGTTGTGGTGGTTTTGGTACGGGCATTGAACGGAGGATCGAGTGACCTTGCCACAGTTGGTGCTGATGGGGATATTTGAGCATGGATTCGTACTGGCTTAGGTAGGAGTTTTTCGTAAGGTCTAGGGGTTGATCCGGATCGTATAGGTTCTGAAGGACGGATGATCCGAAGCCGAACTGTGGCGGCAGATAGCTGGGCGATTTGTGTGCTTCCGGTAGGATGGGCAGCTGATCTTTGCCGTATGCTCGGAATTGTTTGACGTAACGCTCGTACGGTGGGTAGGGGAGCTGTTGCTGAGGGACTAGAGCTGATTGGCGGTAGAGCTTCTTTGTTGGTTTGCCCGGTGGTGGTTGAGCGAATTGGCTTCGAGGGTTAACCAAACGTCTCATCGAGGACTTTAGCGGAACACACTGTGGCACAACGTGAGATTTCACTGGGGGTGAGAAGGCAGATGGTCTGAAAAGAAGAAAAATGAAAGGTGATAGGTTAGCTTTGCGTAGTTTAAAAGGACTGAAGTGTTAAAATTACCTAAATCTACTACCGATGGGTTCGTTAGACAGTAACGTTCGGTAGAACCCGCCGTTATTGACCGGAATCGGCACACTTGCCCTTCTGAGGCCATTCGAGAGGTTTGAATTCGTTCTGGGATATGGATATATCCGAGCTTCCTTGAGCTTATTGGCTAGTATGCTGTGCTTTTGTCGGGGAGGTGATGGCATACTAGGAGGTGGTATCGTGATCGACACCATGGGCCTGTCACTAGCTCCACTTTGCAAGTCTTTCTGGTTTGGCAGCTTTGGTACGATGCTAGGTTCATTATAAACCAATTGAGTATCCACAAGTGTAAAATTGAATACCAACTCCGGCTCCTTGTCAGCTTTACAATAGATTCCACTTTCAGTCTTCTTCTCCCCAGTCTCCCCATTGAATTTAAAGTCTATAATCAGATCATTTTTCTCGTCTTCATCGTCCAGATCATCGCGATCGAAGAACCCCCCATCACTCGATTCCTTCTCGATGTTATCGTAGTAAATCTTCGACGGTGGTTGCTCCAGGATCGGAATGATTTTCACCTGCAAGTCGGACGAATCATCACCAGTCACGTCGATGAACTCATCCTCGTCTGCCAGCGGTTTCACTTTTTCAAATTCATACCGCGTCTTCTGGCCGTTCAACGCCAACTGGTAATCGTCCAACGGTTGAACAAACTTTGTGCGCATTCTGCAGTTAAAATCTGGAATTCGATAAAGAAAGTAACCATAAATTATCACAATCAACCCTTATCAATCCATAAAAAAGCACTAATCTAACCCTAGATATCGTAACAATCTTCCGGAGAACCATCCTGCTTGGCAGCGCTGCACTCTTGCTAATGGTCGCGAGTAGCTCGGATGTCCGGGGTTTTATATATAGAGCTGCCTCGCCCCCGGGCACGGGCTTATCGCGGCAAAAATTTATGCAAACATAGCCCCAATCTCAGCTGTCCTGATAAGACTCGAGGCCCAGCCAGCCAACCAAGAGGGACTACCTAAGCTCCCCAGTAAGCAGCCCAAAGCCTGGCAAGACGGGTAGGGAATTGACAGTAAATCGATGGGCATACAAACACACATGTGGCCGCCTGGACCTGGTTGATTTTAAGCAGACTGGCGAGAAGACGACAACTGATAACCGACGACGAAATGTGTGTGATAATTGATAAGATAGGTAATTTTGTGTTTCTTCTTCTCTAAACAACAGGGAGTTGTGTGGAGATAATTTTTATCTGATCCCTCTCGTGTGTCATATTCAAATGAAGCTTCTAGGCAGGTACGTAGGTTCAAACTCACGCGCGCAGCTGCATACCATTGTTTGGTGTCGCAGAAGAAGCGGCGCTGAGGAATGTGACCTGTCCATCGAATTGTGGTGGGTTTTTACGCTATAGCTTTGCGGAGATAATTGGGTACTTTCTGATAGACAAGGTTGATTGAAAACCGCTGTCTGTCCGATACACATATTTTAGTTGACAATGAAAAATTAACAAAACTCCCAGATAGCACCGAGAAAAGTCGGAAAGCTAACCTTGACGTTTGGTACGAATTTGAATAATCCCTTAGTAGGCTTATGCTGCAATTGCGGCCATGGCTTCATGCTTTTCGCAGCATGGAAACCAGTTTCTAATCAGTGATCTATTTATAGATGAACGTAGCTAGAACAAGTGCTGGAAGGATCGTAAACACGGGATTAATCACTACTATGAACATATTCAATACCATATTTCATGTACCGTTCCGATTCGAATTTCGGACGATTCAAATTTCGGACACTTTCATTTTTAATTAAATATTACATCCAGTTAGAAACAAAGTAATAATGTTAGATGATCGTGGAGGGCACTAGTCAAAAAAATTTAAAATTTACAAGACATGTGGATCAT